TAGAAACTTTTAGCCAGCAACTCGCTTTTGGCCCATTGACAAAAGTTGACATATGCAAAAATAAAGAAAACGAGAGCCAAAAAATATATATACAAATTATCAGCACATTTATCTGGGGGAGAAAAAGGCTGAGAAGTGGAAAAATGAGGCTGGAATGAAAAGTTTTGATTTATTTTTAAGCGCAAAGTTTTTGGCCTGTCACAAAGATTTTTGACAAGGGTGTATACCGCGGAGATTCAAAGAAAAACTGACTGAAATCGAAGCAGAAAATGCTAAATCAAATCGCACAAACGGATCAGACTTCCACTTTTCCCCCAGGAGAAACAGTGATCCAAACGAAGCCAATTGAGGAAGGAGTGACAGGGAGACTTTCTCGTTTAACTTTTACTTTTCCCTTTGCCTGGATTAAATCGGCTTAGGGCCTATTAATGACCTCAAGTGACAAAGTTGGCTTCCGTTTTTAATTGCGGACAGCTGCAGTGCAATCAGGCTGAAAATGAGCAGGGATATTCTATGGGCTTTGTCCTTAAGACCCAGCCAAGTCAACAACTTAAAGGTTTGTGATAAGTTCAAGGTATTTATGAAATATTCTGTTAGGTACCAAAATGAATGATTAAAACAATTTTAAATGGTTAAACACATTTATTTATTTATTTTTCGAGTTTAAACATTTTTAAATAAATAACTTTCCCTAAAAGATCTGCACCCTCTGTTACACCACTGATTGCAGCCCATACATAAACCTAAATTTATGACTACACCATTCCTATTTAAAGCCAACTTCTTTACCTTTTTCTCGCCCTGCCATTTTGACAAGCAAATTTAAGCGCAATTTAATTTGCCATTTGTTAATGACAAAGCTGGCTAAAAACTAACAAAAACAGCAGCCGGAGCTGGGGTAAAAAAGAAAACGGCGAACTAAAAGCATTTCGCACACTTGGTAAATAAAAGCGGGGGAAGGGCATGAGATTTGCAGGAGGGAAAGTCGAAGGCAGAGTGTCTGCAGTGTCACTTGAAGTGTTGCAGTCGCCGCGCTGACAACGAAAATAAAAATTTGCCATTTTTTTGTAGCAGGAGGCGAAAGGAGAAGACTCTCTGGGAGCCACAAAGACTGGCGGACAATAAACACATGTTTCAGTTTGTAATACGCGGGGCCATAAAGTTGGAGAGTCCCTCCCAGTATCTTCCTTCTCCCCACCGATTTACCTTCAGCTAAAGGTGCCCAAATTTAAAGAACAAAATATCAGATACCCTTGAAATATGAGTTACCTTATAAATATTAGTTATTATGAGCATTAAATGACTAGTTATATGAATTCCATTAAAATATACCCATATAAAGTATTAATTTAGAATAAAATGCTTAAACAAAAAAGGATTTGTAAATTAAAGGATTTTTATAATTAAAAAATAGAATGTACATTTTATCTTAATATTTTAAAGATAAATTTGTATAGATTTTAAATTTTTCATGACATTTTAAACAATATTTACAAATTTTTAACGATTTTTCTATACTTTCTTAAACATTTAAGATCCTTTAGTTTAGTTTAGGGTACATAAAAGAGAGAAGCAAAATTTAATGCGAGGGTAGCCGAAAAGTATCTTCACAGTTCAGTTTGTTTGCTGTTTGTTATTGTTGTGTACTTTTTTTTCTGTTTGTCTGCGAACACATGCCCTTTTTATTTTATGTTTCGAGTGTGTGTGCGAAGTTTTGCACGCATTCCCCCTCCAGATCCCCCTATTCCTTCTTTTTTTTTGCAGAGGAGATTACATTTGACAATGGGGAACATGTGGTACTCATAGGGCATTTGCGGCCTCCCTCCTCATCGACATCGCAGATAATGGCTAGGTAAGCCGTGTGAAATTGAACTGTGTCAGTGTCACAACGAAAATCGATTTCTCAATGGTGTTTTGTGGAAAATGTTTTCGGATTTAGGTGCTAGGGCAAGGATTATGGCGGAGGGCCTAGAGAGATCGACCAGGCCGAGTCCGAGGAAATCCACACATGCCTGGTATTTTTAGTGCCCACTGTAAGTAGTTGCGTCTGTGCCTCGAATGTGTCTGCATTTCGCCCAGTGTCTGTGGGCCATAAACTCCGCTGGCTAATTATGGCCACTAATGAGCTTGAAATGGCACTTACCAGAAACAGCAACAGCACAGTGTGTATTTAGATATTCGAATGTACCATAAAGGCAAAAATAAACAAAGGGGAGAGACAATCGTCGGATAAATTCGCTGTAACCATCTCCAACTTGCATTATTTATGGGCGGCAGCAAGTGCGAAAATGTAAAACACTAATTCAAATTAAAGTAGCCAAATCAAAAAAATTAGCGAAAAGTTTATGAGAGCATGGGGAGAGCTAGGTACAGTAATTCGTCGATTTATAAAAATATTTAGTCAATTTAGAAATTAATAAAAAAAATGAAAAAACGTTTTAAAATTACAAAAACCCTTTTCAAGAATTATATAAAAATCTGAATACATTTTTAAAATCGAATACTTGTCTAAAGAACGTCCACTGTACTCAAGATATGTCCAATTTTCCCAATATCCATTGAGTTGTCTGCCGCTTGACTCCTTCTCTGCGCTCTTAACTCCTCTGTTATTGCTGGTTATTAAAATATAGCAAACAAGAGATCGAGAGTCCCGGAGTCCAGGCCTCCGACTCCGCCTCTGTCTGCATTGTAAATTTTAATTATTTCCTACAAATGATGATTAAATTGGCCGCAGGCAACCAGCAGCAAGATATTAAATCAATAAATACAAAAATGCCTGCATGTGGGAATCCCCTCAGCCGTCCCCAGTCCTCATCCTCTTCAGTTGGCCACGTTTAAATGGCAATATGTAAGGACGGCAGAGACAGTGATGACAGTTTACCGGTTTACAGTTCATTATATTGCATAAATTGACTTTATATCGGGCCGCACTAGGCACAATATTAACAAACAGCAACAACAACGACCGAGAACGAAAATGAAAATGAAATGCCAGCAATTTACTGCCAACTGAAAATGAAATGTGCAAAAAAGGCAAACATAAAGCCAAAAGCTCGAAATGAACAAAAAGTCAACAGGTAAGGCAGATTAAAAAGTAACTATTGGAAAAAGACAGGACTAGTTGCTGGAGAGGCCGATAAAAAAGGCAAAAAAAAGGTAAACGAATGATTGTTTACTTATGGAACTGATTGGGGTTTACGCATTTGTTCTTTTTGAACAGAGTTCAATGAGTACATAATATACAATTTTAATAAATAAATAAATTAATCATAGAATAATTGTATCTCTTGAAATTCCTATATAGAAAATTATTATACAAGCTAAAAAAATAGTAAATCAAAAACACCTCTTTCTAAATCTTGTTAATATATATGCCTCCTAGAAAATAAAATCCCAGCGAATATACTTAAGATATAAATCCCTTTATCCATCGCCCAGCTTGCAAAGCCAATAAAAAAGTAACCCCAAGAAATCTCCAACGCCGAAGTATGAACAATTGGATGTACTTAGCATAGAATAACAATTTAAGGAGCATTACTGGACCAGCACGTAAATGGCTACTTGAAGGACTTTCCCTTCGTCCAAAACCTCTTGGTCGTGGAAATCTGAGCTGCAGTCATTGAGGCTTTGTTCAGGTGACGAAATGCGACTGCAAACTACGTGAGTTGCCTGCCAAAGGCCGCAGAAATGAAGGCGAAAACTGCGAGACGGTGGGGTAAAGTTAAAAAGAATGAGGAAACCCGAAAAACGGAAGAACGGAAAAACGAATACCCGAAAATCCATAGGGTGGCACATTAAGGGTAAATCCCCAAGAGGGGATTTTGGGCCAGAAAGCCAGACAACAATGCCCAGGCACAAGGTAAATGCAATCAATACGCGCAGACGGCACATAGCAGGTATTATGTATTATGTATAATGCATGATGTGCCCTCCCGCCCCCAAAAAATTCCAAAAAGCCGAGTGAGTGCCATGAAAAATCAACGCCGGGCGTAATCTATTAAATTATCCTAATTTCATCACGCACCAAATCCCTTTAGCCATGAGCCTTCGTCCTTTGCCTTTTTTACCTCCAGCTCGTCTGGTTCGTCTGGAAAACAATAAAAATTTGCATAATATCGGTATAATATTTTAGCATTATATGTGCCCCACGAAAGGTGCAGAAGTGTCGAGTATTATGGCAGGAATTTTCTTTTTTCATTTTTTTGGCTTGAAAATTTGTGGGAGGGGGTCTAACACATGTTACCAACATTTTTTGCAGACACTTTTGGTTAAGTAACTGCACTAAGCGAATTTATCTTGGCCATTCTGCCGCTCCGTCTTCTCGTTCCCGTTCTTCGCAGCTCGTTTGAAAAATCCCCACTAATTACTTGTCTAATTACTGGGATTTTTTCCCGCCAGGCCAAGTAGCTGCAATTTGTTTCGCCAAAATCTCATTTTAAAAATAGCCAAGTCAGAGTAGAAAAGGGCTAAAAAACGAAATGCTAAAATGCCAAGCTAAAATGTTAATGTAGATGAATACAAACGGTTGGCGGGTGAGAGAAAAAAGTTGAAATATATTAATGAAATGGGAATGAAATGCAGAAGATTTGTTGGTTAAAGTCTTCTGTAAGGGTAAATACTTTCGGGGCAATGTTAAAAATATTTTTTAATGCTCTGCGATGAAAAGTTCAATCATCTTAATTTTTTTTTAGCTGGTAATACATTTTTGTAATGTAATTTATCTAATTTATTTCTTATCCAACTTCAGCATTGTCTCGGCCAACTAAAAATAAATTTCTAATCAAAAAGCCCCCAGAACTCTCCACAACTATATGAAGATTAGGCAATCTTTCTGATTGTTTGTCTTGCATAAATCTAAAAAAATAAGTAGCGAAATGGCAAAAATATTTGTCTTGGCGAAGGACTTGGCTCACACTCAAATAGCCGGCAATAATTTATCATAACTAACTCCGGAGGCGATGCTCATTTGTCAAGTCCAGCCAAGTACAATGAACTCCAAATTGCGAATGAAACCACCAAAAAATATGTATATTTTAGTTTGCAAAAATCGTTCTTGGGCAAACGCAGAAAAGGCATATATACATATGTGAGCCTGTTTGCGGTTGAGCTTTGATGGACCAATTTTCCTGGATGCGACAGATTCAAGCGTGAAATGAAAGGAAATTGAAATGCGGACAAATTGAATTGAGGACTGCCTGAGGGGCAAAAAATATCTTACAGCTCCATTTCTGGGTCTGTTCTGGTGTCTTCTGCTTCGTTTAACTCGCCCCCAAGTATGCAACAACTTTCGCCGGCAAGTGGCACTCAATGAGTGCAATCAAATATTCAAGGCGGTGGTGGCCAACTTTCCGACTTGCCACGCCTTGATGCATAATTAAAATCCATTAAATGAATTTCTTACTCTCTCTTTTTCGGTTCTATTTTTTGTTTCTGTTGCATTTGCTGTTGCTGCTGCGAACTTTTCATTAATGAATCAAAATGAAAAAAGTTTCCGAGGACCAAGTTATTCCCATTTCGTTTGACTTCGACCATTTCCCCGGCCCATTAATTTCCCATTTTGACATTTACACAATCGCACTGCTCCGCCGGTTGGCCAGAAATGCAAATTTCATTTCGGCCATCATGAATGCCAAAGTGCAAAATTCAATCAATTTGAGCCATTTACCTAAGCGTCATTGAGAGCAGCTCGTCCAAAGTCCGAGTCCGAATCTAAATCCCAATCTGAATGGGAGTGGGTGTTGGGGAATTGTGTTTCTGACACACAACTCTCTGAACCCCATTCAAAAATATTTGCATGGATATTTGTGTCTGTGTCAGGTAAATCATGGCAAATCATGATTGGCAAAGAGTTTTTCCCAATTAATACACACCGAACCATTGGCTTTTGATTTGACCAAAAATGCTTTATGCGGAGTTTTCCATCAACTGCATTTCGCTTGTGCGGATTTACTGAAATAAGCAAATAACAAGTTTGGCAGTCAGTTGATTTCCTTAACATTTTTGGATATTAAAATATTAAATAAATATTTGGACTGACGGTAAATGAGTTTGAAATTGATATGATTGACATATAAAATATTTTATTTAGTGAACCACAAGTATTTTTTATTTTAACTTATCCTTAACTTGTTTAATGGCTCCGCTTAATTGCCATTTAAGTTTCACCCATGGCCAAGACCCGTTTACATTTCCTTTCCGCGAGTCGCATAAACAAATACAATGCGAAATGCAAATTAAGCCTAATAATCCCCCCAAGCTCGCCCAGTCGAAGCTATTCTAATTTATTGGAATTTAATTGCTAAAGGATTTGAAGCAAAATATTAGCGGTTGCCATTATGGTCCGGTGAGCGTGAAATTGTATGCAATCCGAATGCCAATCCCAATTCCAATCCCAGACCGAAGCCCAGTCGGTAGTCCTCTGGCACGGCATTATAATGGCCCCTCGACCAATGCGATTATATTAATTAATTTGCCATCGATTGCCGTATTAGCGTTTCATTGTCTTGAACTTCACTTGAGCGTGCCTAAGAGGATGGAACAATGGTCTCGGTGTTTTGGGGAAGGAGGTGCTCCTTAAATATGAATGGAAGGAAAATATTAAAACAGTTCAAGTTCACCGAGAGGTAATGAACAATTTTGAGTGGTATTTTCTGTATCACAAAATGTTATAAACAATTTGGTAGCCCTTAAAATCATTCTATTACCAAAAATAGCATTTAATTTATTCATTCTGTTTTTTTCTATACCTTTTAACACACTTCTTTAATTTCTTTTCCAAGTAAAAACATTTTTACCTCTGCAGAGAAGCCGGAATGGCCATAAATTTTGCATTAACCCGCACTTTGGGTGCGTTTAAATATCTGCATAATCTTTCAATTGCCCCGGGGGTATAAATACATACATATTTTCTCCTCCGAGTTCGTTAGAGTTCTGTGTGGGATTATCATCGAGCGTTTTGAAGTTGACTGCGGCAGATGTTTTGTAAAATGCTAATAATTGCCTTAATTGCGTTGATATCCAAATATTTGCATTTGCGGCAACGGCAAAGCGCATTTGAACTTTCGAGTGCCTGTCTTCGGAATCTGAATCTGCATCTGAATACAAATCCAAATCCGAATCTGATTATGTTTGCATTTGCATTCGCTATTGCAGTTCTTCCGCTTCGGGATTGATGGATGCACTGCGTCAAGTGGAGCGACGACCATGTTGATGACTTCTTGAAATGTTTGCCTTAATAAATGCGGAGTAAATTGTGCATTTTATGCTGCAAATGGGGCCTGGACTAGGCCGTCGTTTGATGTTTTTAATGAATCCCCGGCTGCCATGGAGCTTATCAGTCCGAACGGGATGCACTAGATGCCCATTTTAAAGACCTGTGTTTGCTCAGCTGTGACGTAATTTCATTTTGCATTTCCCCCGCCCCGAAAATTCCATATTGCTCCCCCAAGGATTAATGCCGCTGACGTCTGAAATCTGAAATGATGTCTGTCAAGGACTCTCGGGCGATGATAATGTGCTCTGGCACAAACTTTCCAAACTCCCCCACCAGCATAAGCTTTTCCCCAAAGTTTTATGACTAGACAGTTTTTCGGGGAGTCCCGTTTCCCGTCCCCCACGACTTCTGATTCACTCTCCTTTTGGACCCGTCAATATGCTAATAATGTAAACTCATGTGGCCGGAAATTGTTTAGCTATAAACTTTGTTTACGGCCTGCCAACTTTAAATTGGGCTGACAGACGGCAGGCAGATCGGCTCTTAAATGCTAAATATTTAACTAGGCATGTGTCGGGGAGAAAAGTGAATGTCAAGCGGGCTTATCACTTAAGAGTGTGTTTGCCAGAGCATCTTATCGACTTAGGGACAAAGTTTTCGGGGGAAGTCGATTGGAGCGAAATAAAGGCGTTGTATTTGCTTTTCGTTGCATGTAAATACACGAATTTATTTAATACTTGAGATGCAACAGAGTTTTCGATTTTATAAGTTTACTTGATTTTATTTTTATGCTTTAAATTTTAAAATGAATATTTTTTTAATTGAATTAAAATTTTTTGTGTTATAAATATCAAATTTAATGTTATTATTATGATTTTAGTAAGAGTAAAACGATTTTTTCCTGTCCCTTTCTTAGTTTCGTATTTTATTTCTTTTAATTATTTTTCAGAAATAATTTATGATCCCGAAATTCCTTGACAAATCCTTGTATTTTCACCTGCCATCTCAGCGGATTTCGCTTCCAGAAAGAAAAACAAAATCAATTAATTTCATTTTTGTCAACAGCAACACAAATTAATTATATCTGCAGGAAAAAGTTGTTCTCGAGGATTATAGCAGAAAGTTGGGATCAACTTCTGGGTAGATTTCCATGCAATTCAGGTTTACATTTTCACATCTATCAAAGTGCTCTTTTTTCCTTAACTTTTTGCAGCAATTTATTAACGTCACCTGGGCACTTTGCATACTTAAATATGTGTGTTTGTATATCCATTAGTTCCCTCAAGAGTTTGTTGTGTTCATTAGCCAGTCGGGTTTTTGCCATTTTTCTTGTTGTTTTGATGTTTATTCGGGGCCAGGCAATTTGACACTTTTAAGGATTTGCCGAGTTTGACATGCGTAACGCCATTAAATTTATCAATTGCCCAACTCGCTCTGTCCCCGTCTCTTTCTCCCGCCCTCCTGCCGTCTCTGTCACCCACTCGGCTGTCACCTTTTGTGGCTGCTGCTCTTATTATTTTTTTATTTGCCATTACAGAATTTACAACTTTTTTCAATCAGCAGAGCAATTCGCGAAAGCGACGCGTGGCCTGGGAGCACTTGATTTTGATTATTTGCGGTGGCAAAAGCAACTTTGGATTTTATTTTCTTGTTGCCGACATAGTGGCAATTTATCATTCATTAGATGGTTCGAGTGAAACGGGAAAACCGTTGGTGGTTGCAAAAATAGGTGAGTTTTTTAAGGAAAAATGCAAAGGAAGGTGGATAAAATAAATTACATTTAATGCCGACTGCTTTTAAGTTTATATCTGAAATAAAACTCTTAATTAGAGTGACACGTATCTAAGTCACCCAAATCAATCTTAATGAAGGTGAATAAAAACGTTGAATATTTATATATGTGGAAATTTATTATCACCTAGTAAATCTAAGAAGGAAATAAGGCAATTTTATAACAGAGGAGTTTACGATTTCGTTTATGATAATTTTATGTCCCTAAAAACCGCACGTTTTGCTTCAATAAATCGAGGCTTCCTTTTATGGTTATGACTTTGTCGCAGGTGTGGCTAACACAAACCAATATCGCGGCAATAATATCAAAATGAATAAACATAAATAAGCTTGAGTAAACACAAATATTGTCCAAACGCACTTAAAGTTTGCGCTGATTTCGGCCAACAAACGGTGACCGCAAGCTGACAAGAATTTTCACTTTTATTGCAAACATTTAACAGGCCATGACATGGCGGCAAGTTTTTCATCATCAATTTGGTTTATGGCCCGGAATGGCTGCCACATGGAACGCAGCCACTTGTCATAACACGGCGGTGAGTTACCGTTACCGTTTTGCTAAAACATTTACCCATGCCATCAGCCGGAAAACGGAGACAACGGCAAAAGGGAAAACTAAATGCAGCTTTCTAGGGATGGTAGAAAATAGAATTACACGATGCGAAAATAGCTTGTAAACTATATTTTATAAGGAGAAGATTGGGAGATGTATTTAAACAAATTTCTGTATAATATAACAAATTTAAAAAAAATATAGTCTTTGTAATTTTCGTTGTATAAACAAAACTAAAACTGATGGTATCTATTAGATTATCGAATTATATTTTATTCTATCCTACACTATTAAAAAAGCTTGAATATTTAACTTAATTAAAATTAAATTTCAACTTTAATCTATAAATTCTACAGTTTTTTTAAGTACGTATAAATTTATTTTCTCCCGATAAACAAATCATCTTTTATGTCATCTAAATTACGAAAACAAAGTCTGTATCTGTATATAATTTTAATAATGTTATTTTCTCGAATCTAAAATCAAAGTCACGACTTTGCCAGGCAATCTATATCCATATACACCCCATCTGCTACCATCTCTAGATCTATCGCCCCCTCTCTTTCTGCCAGAAAGAAAGGCACACAGAGGCTGGGCATTGTTGTTGGCACTTTGCTAACATTTTCACACCCAAGACAGAGGAAAACGGTGGACCAGGCCAAAAGGCAGCTCAGCTGGACAATTTGTCTGCGAATTCGCGAGGTGCCACAGAAAAGGGTGAGGAGTGGGTAACCCAGGGGCGGAGGAAAGGGGGACTTTCGGTTGCATGTCCACGATGGCGTGTAACTGGTTTGTATCTTTTTGCAGCTATTTCTCTTCGTTGCTTACTTCCTTTCCACCCCCACTTGCACCCCCCACCAAAGGTTGCCTTCTCTTCCGCTGTCCGATTTTGTCAACATTATTCAAGCATAAACATGGCCCAAACCAAAGCGATGACGAACCCAAAATGGGGTAAAACTGTTGCAAGGGGCGGTGGAAAAATAAGGAAAAGGAGGACAAGTGGAAACGTGATGCCTGCCGAAATGCTGCAAATGGTGGAAAATGCTTGAAACAAGCATTTAAACGTCGTTAGGTTTGCACAAATCAAGATAAATGGCAATAGGACATGTGACCAAACGAAGGACCTGGATCCACAGGCCGCCTTTCACGGGGGGTCGGACCAAAAAGGACCCAAATTGGGCGGGGTTCAGGTGAGAATCCGGTGTCCTTCCTCATTTGTTTGCTCGTTTCGCAACGGACAATCAGCGCCCCAATTATAATTTCGCTTATGGAGAATGTTTCTCTAACTGGGAGAAGAGTTTTCACAGGATTAAGGACAAGCGAACACAACAAAATTTAATATTATAAATCATAAGTTACGAAAGAGGTAAATAAAATATTGTAGGTATTATTTATACATTTTTTTTTTTTTCATTTTAATATTGAAACATTTGGGCACAAATTCTTGGTACCCGTTCTACTCATTATTATAATTATAATTAGAAACAAATATGAATTAAACAATATAATAGTCTTAATTCGGTTTAAACTTTTAATAAAATGGTTTAAAATATATTAACCTAAAAGCCAGTCAGAATTTTTTCTTATTTTAAACCAATTTATATTGCAATTTAGCCATCATCAATCTCCCTCCACGAGGTTGTCCTGCGATCTTTAAGCCCTTAAGATTGCTATTCAAACGGAATGCTTAGCATTTGGCCATCCAATTAGGCCAAGAATGGCGTATCGGGCCCAAATCCTGTCCTGTCCTTCCCTTCTGCCCAGTGGATTGCACTTTCCGCTGGCTGCAGTAAAATCCACACAGCGAGTGGCGTCGCCTGCGCTAAATGCATCACGTATTGGGTTTTGACATAAACGCTTGTCCTCGTTAGCGCCGCATCGTGTTCCGCCCTTTCCGTAACCCCCGTAGCACCCATGGCCCCCACTTCCTCTCGATTTCCACCCACTGGGCTCTCGAAACGCCTGTGGTGCCAAGGCAAAAGTTTTACAACTGCGCGGGAACAAAGGTGCACACTGAGGTACCAAAAAGTTTCAGACAAGTAGTAGGCAGCATGTTGATAAATTGCCTGGGCTTTAACCCGCGCCCTCACGCTGTCGGATTTTATGCAAAAATCATTTTAAAAAGTCGAAGTTAAGCTGGGGAAGTGGGTATGCGACTAGTGGGATACTTTGTACTTGAAATGAGGTATTAAAAATAAATTTACACTAATTGTATTAAATAATAACAGAATTCTAATGAATATTTATAGAGCACTCAAAATTTATATAAAATTCTTAACAAATAAAACATTACATTTATAAAAATATTTAATTTATTTATACTATACCATAAACAACTTATTATAGAATAATTAAATGTTCTAAACTATCTGTAGATAAAGAGATATAAATAAAAATAAATAAGATTATAAATAATAATAAAATGTTCTAAAAAGTATATATATATATTTTTCGAAAGCCATTCAGGGTATTTAGAGCTCTCCTGTGTGACATTCCAAGGCTAGAGTCCAACGGACCCTCGAAGGCACTCACAAACCGCGCTGGATATGAAAAGTTTGCCCATTCGAGAAAGACACTCTTAAGGAAAAAAGTAAGGGATGGAGTAGAAGTAGAGGAAGGAGCTTCTCGTTTCGATTGAGATCCCCTGAGTGTTGACTGACGGCGTTGAAATAATGCGGCCAATAAATGTCAATGCAATGAGCTGAGGGCCAGGTAATGGGAGGGAGGTTGCCTTTCATGTGTTCCACTGCGTTTTGTGTATATTTAAATGGCAGTTAAAGTGGCAACACGTTTCGTTTTCGTTTGAAGTCGTCGCTGATGAGGGGATGATGATCTTGCAGCTGCCTGCGTTCCCAGTGCATCCTTCAAATGTCACCTCACCTACACTTCTGCTCTTCACAAGTCATGCATTTATGCGTTTATAAATATTTCATACTCCAAACTGGGTAAGTTTCTGCTTCACCTCCTCGTGAGTCATAATTTTCGGAGCCAACACAAAGGCAGCTTTCGTATAAACAATGTATGCATATATCTGGCTATTTACCGATTCACTCATTTGCATTCAATGAATGGCCAGAAGATGAGCCCGGATACCGAGTGAGTGTCATTGCCAGTTTGGAGCACACTCACAGATTCCCCCGACATTTGCATATCGGCACTTGGCACTTGACGAAATACTTATCTTGCCAAGGAATGGCAAATCAAATTGTTGGCAATTTGCATACATCATATGTTAACAGCGATTTTGAGCCGGGTGTACATATCGCAGATAAATCAATTCCATTCGCAGTCCCAACTCTGACAGCCTCGATTGGTGGTTAAAACGAAACGAAGTCATCATCATTATCAGCGATGTGGGTTCGATTAGCTATGGTTGTACTCGAATATGAATGGCTTTCAATTAATGTCAGGAAGTCATTCTATTTATAAAGTTGGTTTCTTTGGGAGTTTGGGAGTAAAAGATACCCTTTCTTGGAAGACCAATAAAATAATATGAAACCAATTCATTATTCGGGAAAATAAAAGATTTATTTAATTCATATCTCTTTAAAACTGTTTTTAGTCAGTATTAAAATTTCCTTTAATACCCAATAATTCCTTTCAAATTAGCCTGGGATGATATATTCCCTTCGAGAGCCCAAATAAAGTTGTTTATGTATTAAAAGCCCACACATATTTGTGTGTAATATATTGTTACGTTATTAAACACATAAATTCCCCAACGGAATGCCTTAATTTATGTGCTTTCCGTGCATTGTTTTTCCTTCGAACTAATATCGCTTATCACATTTATCATGAGCACACGGCGGCGGCCTCTTTTCTCCACGGCAAAGAAAAATGAAACGAAATACTTACGATAACGCCAATTTGCATAATGTGCAAATCATAATACGAATTTCCTTCCCATTCCATATATATGTGTGGGCATAAATATTGCAACATTTGTAACAGACAACGCGGCTGCCTCCAGATAAGTTATCAGGAAATCGGAAGGAAGTTGGAGTCGGAAACTCAATGCTAAAATGCACACACGGGGCAATCCACTTTGCCCCCGCTCCACTTCTCATCCGGGAGTGGAAAAGTTAGCAGGAAAAGCTCAACACTCGGTCGGTTCACGTGGAGAAAAATAAATAAGATAAAAGTCTATGAAGAAAAATCAAACAAAACAAGGTGAAATCTGAAGTTCACTATGAGTATGTAAAATGCTTTTAAGACAATAATAAATCTTTAATGTAGTTCACTAGTAATTTCAAGGGAATAAAGTTCTATAAAGGTATAACTTTTATGGGGAAAGGTAGGGCTGAATTCTTGGGTTTCAACTATTTTTATAAAGAAAATGTATTACTTTTTGGTTTTTATTAAGGGTTATAGTAGCTTTCAGTTTTTTATTTTAAGCTACAAATATTCTTTGTAGTGCACTCTCTTTTGTGAATCAGGCGACAAATGGCACCCCAGATTTAAGTAGTTGTGGCAGACCTTTCTCTTCCCTTCATGTACTTTTCGCCCATTTTCCCTCCCCAACAATTTTAACTTTCCTCCTTTTTTGCTCGGCAAAATGTTGCCGCAGCGATTGTTCAATTTCAATTCACAACTTTCTGACCATGTAACAACTGCGGCAAGTTGTTGCATTGTTAAAAGTCCCTTTACACATGTCGGCCCGACTGTCTGTGGGTGTCTGGATCCATTTGCTAGTTATGTGGAGCTCAGACAAATTTGGCCAAAATGTAAGATAAGAATAAAAGTAGTTTCGTTAAGATATGTAAAGTTTTTATAAAGTTATGGCTATCATTAAATGATAAGTTAGACAAGATATAAGATTTTACAATATTGTTAATATTACTCTAAACATCAAGTCATTACCCTAACAAATAGTGTAGATAAGAGGATAAGACACGTGTGGGGCCTTACCTTACTTTTAAGCACATAAATTTTCTTATAAATATAAATTGGGTGGCCACTTTGGTTTAGTTTGTGAATAACTGAAATAGTGAGCAGATCCTTTGATAATACAAATGGCAGATTTACCAGTGACATACGATGAAAAGGAAAGAATTTGGAGTGGAGGAGAGTTCTCGAACTCTCTGTACAAGGAGGACTTGTCTTTGGGTACAATAGTATTTAATACCCTAAGGAATTCGCCCAAGAATGTGTGCCAAGTGGGTTTTTCAAAAAACATAGTAAAACTGCTTATAATTAAACTGTCGTGCGTATTTATTAGATATGCGATGCCGACGGAGTATCGCTCACTTTTGAACAAACTCTCACATGGGCTATTCGATTGGCCCAGTTTTTTAAGAGGAAGGGTCTGAACCACGAAAATGTTATTGGAATCGCGGCATTAAACTCAACTTATATACAACCTCTTGGAGTTGGCTGTCTGTTAAACGGAACACCCTTTCATGCGATGAATCCAGCCTTGGATGAAGGTTTGTATCTAACACATTAAATATTGGAATCCTTTAGCAACATTTTGAGTTGCAGGCACCACTAGCGCACTTTGCTTGAAGACCAAACCTGCCGTAATATTTTGTGATGACAATGTATATGAGAAGGTTAGATCAGCATCGATTAATTGGGAACCGGAAATCTATACGATCACCGGAAAAGTTGAGGGAGTGCCAAGCATTGAAGTCCTACTAGACCCCACAGAGACGGAAAAAAACTACCAGTAAGTATTGATATCTCTGAAGTAGGGTTGTGAAATGAACGATTGTGCTATCGATCGTTTTACCAACTCTACTCTTTAGCTTTAAATGCTTTTACCCAAATCCTTTCAGACCGGAACCTTTGGTTAAAATCGGAGGTCAGACCGTGGCCATTCTGTGCTCCTCGGGAACAACTGGATTACCAAAAACCATTTGCGTTTCAGACAGAACTCTACTATCTCCAATTAATTACAGTAGCGATCTTGTTTTCTATACGCCGAGCGGTCTGGATTGGTTAACGGGCCTTTTGGTCTTTATCGTTAGCATTACCTGTGGGAGTACCGTTATCAGGAGCAACAAGCCGGTCACACCCCAGTATTTTGTTCACTTGGTAAAGAAGTACAAGATCAGTGTAGCACTCGGGCCTCCGCCTCTAATTTCGGATCTGGTATCTTGCCCAGAAGTCACGGCGGAAGCGATGGAATCCGTTAGAAACTTGGGCTATGCCGGAGCTTCTATTTCCTTGGCCACTCTGCAGCGAGCTCGAAAAATATTCAGAAAGGCAATGATATCTTCTACTTATGCACTAACGGAATGCGGAATTGTAACCAGGAACTTGACAAACAGCAAAATATCCTCTGTTGGCAGACCTTATCAGGGCATGAAGGTCCGTATTGTGGATGAGTTGGGCCAAAACCTGAGTCATAATGAAGTGGGAGAGATTTATGCCTATTCGGGGCTGTCCTGGGGTGGTTTCTACGGAGATCCCGAAGCGGCAAGTCACTTCCAGGACTCGGAGGGCTGGTTCCACACCGGTGATCTGGGCAATTTCGATAGTGAGAACTTTTTGTACATCGTAGATCGCAAAAAGGAGGTTCTCAAGCACCATGGTCTTCAGTACTGGACCCCCGAGATCGAGGACGTTATTGCGGAGCTTCCTCAAGTGCGCGATGTGTGTGTTATGGGCATTTACAATGAAGATGTGGGCGATGAGGCTGGAGCCTTGGTGGTGATAAACGAAGGATCCTCCATAACTACCAAGGAGATTCAGGATCATGTGGCTAAACGGTTGCCTGTAATCCGGAAACAACTTCATGCCGGCGTTCAGTTCACCAAAAAGTTGCCAACAAATCTAAATGGGAAAACATTGAGGAAGGCAGCTCGTGAAGAATTTTTAGCCAAAAAACAGCTGGAGAGTGCTCAATTGTAACAAATTAAAAGGGTGCAATTATATATTTCTATAAATTAAAATAAAACAATCCTTTGAAATATATAAAAGAGTTTCGGTTGACATTGCCAACCTGACCAAAAGAAATCGATTTCACATTTCCTTTGAGATCGCAACTGCCCCTTCATAAGTCCCAAACACTATTCCAATTTAACCCTTTTCATCTCATAGCCACACACATCATCAATTCAAAACCAATAACTCAAAAACAAAAATCCAGCAATCATATGGACTGCACTTTCATAGTTTTCGCTTTTCTTTTGCTTGGCAATTTCATTTTCCAAGAAATTCCATTTACACTCGAGAGCTTTGTTCTGGTTACGGGGGAAATGCGAATGCGAATGGCAATGGCAATGTCATGACGAATTTGGCAGTGATAAATGTAGGACCCCTTCCGTTAACCCGGTATAACCCGGTGCCATGTGGAAAATCCCAAAAAGTGTTTGGGCTATTTATGCGCAGGTAGCCGAAAACAGGAAAACAATAAAGAAAAACTCAGTGCTAGACACTGGGAAAAACTAGTTAACATCTTAACTTGGCAACACCTCAAAATAGGACGCGAATTCTTCAGATTAATTATACTTTTTGCAGAAAAAGAGAGAGGGAGGGGCCATCTAACTTGGCCACATTAAGATTTTTAGTGGAAAACTAAGATGCAAATTTTATATTCCTCTATCTTAAGAATGTTAGATGACTATTTAGAATAAGTTTGACTTGAATATCGCATTTAAAGAGATAAGTTAACGACAAACTAATTTAATTTCTAATTCTAGGACCAAACCTTATAGAAATTCGTTTTTTGCTCTGCATGACTTGACAAACTACTCGGCTGAGATGTGGATTCTGGTCTGGTTCGGTTGGGTCTCGGTGTTTTATGCATGAAATGCCAAAACGAATGCCACACCAGCAGACCGAGGGACAGGCTGACTGTTGACGCCTTGATGCATGGTTCAAGGCAATGTCAGCGACAGGAACGGAGTTGGGGAATTGAGTCTGCGACTGCGACTGAGAATGGGAACGAGAATGCGACTCAAATTCAAACTCAAACTGAACCCTAAAGTCAGGCACACTCCCAAAAAATGTGCACACCGAACTGCCGGCGGGCATTTTTCGAGATTCAAGAGATGCTATTGAAATTCAGCTACAGCGTTGCTAATTTGTATTTTAAAATATGCGCAATTATAACATCCCAACAATGCATTCAGTGGTGTGTAAGTCTTCATGTTAAATAAGCCGAAAAGGGGTGCAGCAGAAAAGGCGATGTCACAACAGCAGGCGAAGGAGGCAGTGGCTTACTGAGCAGAAGGAGGAAAGGGGGGTTGAAGAAAGGAAGGTGGAGGAACGCTACCCTTGAGTGTTTTTTCTATACCCTCAAAGGTCGAGTGATCAGAGGTATATTGCAGTTTTAGGGAAGTTATCTCTTAATTCACCAAGAAAGTTGCCCAAAAAAATTATTTTAAAATTTTATTTAACAAAATAAAATAAATAAAAATATTAATCATAGAGCTTAGGAAAATTAAAAGAATTTTTTTTTGATCATTGGGCATTAATAATAAGAATTTATTCTCTATGAAATAAAAATCTAGATAAACTCTTACGCTTATAAAAATTTAATAATCATATATCGATAATTTGGCCTGCTCTTAATTAACAACTTAGGAATACTCTAATTATGTGATTGAATTTTAATATATCAAATTTTATATTCTTTAAACTTTATATATTCATTAATTTAAAATTTAAATAAAATCCTAGGGTACCCCTTATTCGAATATCCACCCCTTTTTTTGTATAATTCTTTCCCGCTGAGCCCGCTGTTCCGTTGTTGTGGCGTGTGTGCCCCGCTCCCCGGTTTTTGAACTTATGAAAAATCATTAAAATTATTACATTTGGCTTGCCGACACCTTTTTGCCTCGCGTTCCGGGCAGGAAGACAAACGAGATCGCGTTCCGAGGGCCCGATTCGTGACATTTGTGCGGGGATTAGACCAACAACTGTCACACATTTCCCGACTCGAATTACTATGATTAGCATAGCGTTTGCTGAGTTCCGCGGGGTGGGGTTTTACACTCCCACCCCCTCTTGAAGTCGGGTTCCAAGAGTGCGGTTCTAATGCTGTTTATGGTCAGTCCAGCAGCTGCGATTATCTCCCTCAATGGACGGCAGTTTGTCAGGCTTCTGGTCCGTAAGCCCCTGAAAGATATTTCTTTTCTTCTGCTTGAGTCTCCGGCGGCTGGTCCTAATGGCAAATATTGCCCGGACATTATGCAAATATTTGCACCGACTAATGATGAAACGTGCCGGGCACAATCTGCTCGTTATGTTGGCGATATAAAAGCGCAATGAAAGCGAAAGGTGTTGTGTCTTGGGCTTGATTAAAAAATATCTTGCAAGATTCTTAGGCCTAGGCCAAGGACAAGAACAAGAGCAAGGAAAACATAAGGCAGGCATCTCGGGGACTTTGCAAATTGGGTTCATACATATTTAATTGGTTTTGAGCGAGGGGGAGATAATGATAGGAGACTTGCTTTTGAAATTCCCATATGAAAGGAATTCATTCAAGTCCTTACTTAAGGGTAGGAACTCCTGTGGATGAATTCAAAAATTATAAGATGGTGTAGGAATATTAAAAAGGGAAGAGGTAAAGCCATTTTATAATGATGAAATAAATTAATAGCCTATAAACTAATTACCCTAATGTATCCTTAGAACTAGTTCTGATTTTTAAACAAACCTTATAGTACAACATTTTAAAAATATTATTATACCCGTTACTCGTAGAGTAAAAGGGTATACTAGATTCGTGCAAAAGTATGTAACAGCCAGAAGGAAGCGTTTCCGACCCCATAAAGTATATATATTCTTGATCAGGGTCACTAGCCGAGTCGATCTAGCCATGTCCGTCTGTCCGTCTGTCCGTCTGTCCGTCTGTCTGTCTGTCCGTCTGTCCGTCTGTATGAACGCTGAGATCTCAGAAACTACAAAAGCTAGAAGGTTGAGATTTCCCACACATATTCTTTGGCTTCCTACGCAGCGCAAGTTTATTTTAGCCGAGCGCCACGCCCCCTCTAACGCCCACAATCGCCCACTAACGATTTTAAAATGGGTCCTGCGCCCACATCTTTAACGATTTCCGAGAAGTATAAATGCAATTTTGTTGTGTATATTTATACCTATCGAAATGTAGAAGACATTTTTCAAATCGGACCATTCATTAAAAAGTTATACGCAATCAAAAATTATATATCTATCTCCCTCGCACTCCCTTTAGCTGAGTTACGATTATTAGTCGGGACACCAACCCGACACAGCGTTCGCACTCCCTTTAGCTGAGTGACGGGTATTAGATAGTCGGGACAACAACCCGACTATAGCGTTCTCTCTTGTTTTTTGAATACAAATATTCTTAAAATTTCTTGGTTCTCACGACTTTGAAATTATTTATCCCCCTTCATCTTTTAAGTACTCGATCTTACTTTCTGTTTCCGCTGCTCTCAACACGTTGTGCAAATGATTGTTTGTTTTCATTATGCATATATACGCATAAACCTCCGGGCGATTTCGGTGGTCGTTGTCATTTATCTTTTCTGGAAAATCATCAGCGCTGGGCGATCATTAAACTTCTCGCACTCAACGCAACCGAAACGATCTTGATGGCTCCGATGGCCTGTTCTTTGGATCTGCCTGCCAAAGTCGCTGGAACTCGACCAATTTGCAATTCATTTCGTTTTTCGCTTTAATGTTCGCCAGACACGAAACATGAAATGGCAACGATTTGGCTTGTGAATAAACATATATATAAGTAATTCGGCTGTGTGCAATAAATTTGTAAAATTTAAACAATGCAAAGCGAAGCGAATTATTGCCGCTTGAATGGCTGCTCTCCGAACACGCCCCATGCTAATCAGGGAAAAAATGATATATAAAAATATTCGTATATACAGATATGTGTGTGGCTGGATGAAAGGGTTCACAATGAAGCCAATAAACTGCCTGCAAATGCTTCCGCGCAATTTCATTTTGAAGGATGGTTTGTTATCGCAGGAGGAGAGTTGGGGGAGCGTCGCTATTCCAATAACAATGCCACATCAGAAGGTGCCTCCGCTTCCTCCCTCTTCCCTGCTCCCCGATTTTGGCATTGTCTTCTCATAGAGAGATTTCCGATTCTGATGTCTACCGAGAGGCCTACGCGAATAATTGGCCCACTCTATGGGTTCCAAACCAATCAACGTCGTTTTTTCGAGAGCCTCCAGGGAGTTGATCTATTGAAGAGTTGCTTGAAGGGCGCATATCCGGAAGTTTGCTTTTGTAAAATCCATGCTTAGCTTAGAATAATTGTGGGCAAGAAAATTGAAATCGTTGAGATTTTAATTGTTCAACGAAGCGAACTGGTAGAATTTTTCTATTGTTGTTTATTTGATTGAATGAAAATGGAAAGTCATTTTATGCTAAAATTTATATAAAAATTTATAGTTTCTTTACATAGCCTTAAATTTAAATTGATTTCCTTTAATTTTATGAACATATAGTTTTTGTAAACAACCGGAACTAAACTTATAGCCATCATCAATAAGTCATATTTCATTTAAGTTAATTATTTATTTATTTTCCTTGTTTTTTTTACTCACATATGTGGAGCATTCAGTTACCAAAAATAATTTCCATTTTCATAATGTTTTTCACATCTTCGGCAGTCGTTAATGTCATTTATTTGTGTGCTCATGAACTTGATTAATTACTCAGAGACTCGGCTACTGTTCCAGGCAGTCCATCAGTCCGTCCATCAGGCGATCAATCAATCAATCCGTGGCCCGAAGAGATCAAAGAGCTCCACTTGAATGGCAAATGTTAAATGAGGAGAAGTGGAACGTCTCCTAATTAAAGTAGTGCAAACAAATCTCGAGTCGCGGCTTTTGTGACAAGTCCTGCTCTAGTTTCTCCGAACACAAAAGAGCACAAAGGATGGACTTCGAGACCTGGAG